AAATAGAAGATAATTCGGAATTTAGAAGATAAAATAAAGATTCTAAAAGCTTAAATATCGATAAAAGAAGAGTAATCTCTAATTAGTATCGATATTAGCGTAATCGGAGGCGTTAGATTTAATCGACTCTATATAAAAAATAAGATTAATAAAGAAACTAAAATCTTTATTATATCTTTTTATAAGATTAATTATATTATCGATATTAAGAGCGCTTAGATAGAGGATCCCGAAATTAATAAAATACTTTAGACCTTACTAAAGAAATACTATAATCTTATAAAAGTCTTTTTAAAAAAAGATCGGATAAATTACTATTTTATAGATCTAGAGTCGACTATAATATCGTATTTAAAGCCGAAGTATAGCCTAGATATTATCCTCTTTATAAACTATTTTTTTATAAGTTAAAAAAAATAAGAGAGTATATTATAAAGAATCTTAAAAAAGGATTTATTATTCTAAGTTTAATAGTATATACTTCTCTAATCTTAATAATAAAGAAGTCTAAAAATAGTCTTCGTTTCTATATTAACTTCTAAAGATTAAATACTATTACTAAAAAGAACTATTACTTATTACTACTAATCGACGAAGTCTTATAATAAACTAATAAAGTAAAGTTCTTTATAAAACTTAATATCTAATAAGATTTCTACCGAATTTATTTAATACTAAGAGTAGAAGAGCTTACTACTTTCCGTATATAATATAAATTATTTAAATATAAAGTTACGCTATTTAGATTAATAAACAGACCCGCTATATTCTAATAGTATATAAATAATATATTATAGGAATACCTAGATAAGTATACTATAGTCTTTATAGATAATATTTTAATCTATAGTAAGACTCTTAAAGAGTACTAATAGTAGGTAAGGGAGGTACTTTAATATCTATAAAAAGCTAGTCTTTAAATAATATTACCGAAGTACGAATTCTTAGTATAGAAAATAAAGTTCCTTAGTTTTATTATAAGTATAGATAGTATTATAGTTAACTTAAAAAAAATTAATATTATTTAATTATAATAAGCCTTAATAATTATAAAAAAGATTTAGTTATTTTTAGGATTTTATAATTTCTACCGACGATTTATTTAAGGATATAGTACTATCTTAAAGCCTTTATATCGATTTACTTAGTAAGATATTTTTTATAAATAGACCGAATAATATAAAGTAGCTTTCTTACTACTAAAAAAAAGATTAATAATTATACTAATTTTTTATTATTATAACCCCGCTCGATAAATAAGAGTCGAGACCGATACTTCCGATAGAGTACTTAGAGTAGTTCTCTCTTAATATTATAAAAATAATAACTTCTAGTATCTAATAGCCTTCTTCTTAAAGAGTATATAGTCTATAGAGCTAAATTATAAAATACGAGATAAAGAACTCTTAGTAATTATTTATATATTATAAGAATAGTAACCTAAACTTAAAGATTTAATATAAAAGAATCGTTTTAAGATCTTAATAGATTATTAGTCTCTTAAATACTTTATAATAATAAGATAAATAAATTAATAATAAATAAGATAGAGTAAGTTCTTATCTTAGTTCTATTTCGTAATTAAATATCGTTCTAAAAAAAAGAATATTATAGCTAATATCCTATCGCGAAAAGACTTATCTTATACTAATAATAATAAATAAATAATACTTCTATTAAAGAATTATCTAAAAGAAGATATTTATCTAATTAGTTTAAACCTAATCGATATAGAGTATATAATAAATATTATCGAATAAGTAAAATAGACTAATCGAGAAAGTACTAAGCTAGAAGATTTCTAATAGATTACTAAGAAAGATAGTAACTAAAAATAAGTAATTAAAGAAGAATTACTTTTATTTAAAAGACAACTTAACGTTCCGAACGAAGGAGATTTATATATAAGACTCTTTAATAATATATATCGATAACTATTAATTATATATTCTAGAATTAAGAAGCTAAAGAAGCTTATCTTATTAAGATATTATTAACTAGAATAGGCTAACGATATAAAATAATATATAAAAAACTACTTAATTTATAAATAAATAAAAGCCTAGCGAAATTATATACCCGGATTACTATATCCTTTATCTATTCCTAAGAGACCTTAGTAATATATTTTAATAGATTTCCGCTCGTTTCTAAAGGATTATTATAATTATAACGCTATTTTTATAATTATTAATCGACTAAGTAAAAGACTAATTTTTATTCCTTATTATAAAGATACTAATACTAAGTAGATAGCTTAATTATTTATTAATAATATAATTCGGATTATAGGTATTCCGGAGACTATTATATCTAATTAAGAAGGATAGTTTATTTTAGAATTCTAGACTAAATTCTACTAGATTCTTAGGATTAAGAGAAAGTTATTAACTACCTACTACCTCTAAACTAACGGATAGAGTAAAATTATAAATTAATATATAGCCTAGAGATTATAATCGTATATAGAATAAAACTAAGATAACTAGTTAGAGATTCTACTAATAGTAGATTTCGTAATATTAATTCTTCTATAAAATACTATAAAGTAATTACTATTCTTTATTAAAAGAGATTATAAACTAGCTATATCTTTTAACTAAAGAAACCGAAGTAATCTAATAGATAATAAATAGAATATAATTAATATATTATTATAACTCTAAAATATCTAGATAAAAATAAGAGATTAGATTATAAAGTCCTAGTAGTAGATAGCCTAATAAATAAATAAGTATTAGAGAGAAAAGGACTTCGACGTCGGTAATTAGATTTTTATTATAATAAAAGATTAGTAGCTTAACCGCCCGAATTAGAAGCTTTCTTATTTTATTAGTAGACCCTATAGGATTACCGAAAAGATCGGAAACGCCTATAAGCTCGATCTTCCGGAATCTATTAAAATTTATCTAGTATTTAATCCTAATAAGCTTCGAAGAGCGTCGTTATTAGAACTATTACGCGGATAATATCTAGACCTACCGCTACTAATTAGGATTTCTAAAAAAGATAAATAGAAGGTAGATAAGATTATTAATTTATATCTCTACTACCGGAAGCTATAGTATCGAGTTTAATAGCTTAGTTATAACCTCGATCTATAATAATATCCTATAGGAAACTTTAAGTATATACCTTAGAAGATTTAGGATTTCTATAATAATTACCCTCTAAAACCCGGGCCTCTAATATATTTATAAGCTTAGATAGATATAGCTAGAGATAAAGTCTTTCTTAAAGATTATAGGGATAATAACAAACCGGCATTTAGGGACTAAATACATTTTTGATCGGGGGTTATATAACGATCTAGAAGAGATTCTATCAGTTGGCTCCGCCTATAGAGATTTCTGACAGAGGATTCCGCCTAGGTTCGATGTTTGCATTCCTCTAGTGTTTGCAGGACCTATACCCCACAACGACATTAATGGTCCTGCCTATAGATTTTCTTTCTTCTTTTCTTTTTTCCTCTGTACTTAATATTCTAGTTGAATGCACTCTTTTTGTTAAAGAACTGGCTGGTAACATCTAAGGTACCCTTTGACTACCGCTATTTCTAACCGCGGTTAGAAATTATCTATATATTAAAAGCTCCCTTAAGACTACTATAGTACTACTATCTCTAACCGCGGTTAGAAATTACGTCTTTATTAGAGTTATTATAGTATAAGCTAGAAACTATAGGTAGAGTTAGAAAAATATATTTTATAGATATATATTTTGATAGGATATTATAGTTTTCGTAATTTTCTTAGTTCTTACGGGTTTTTACGCGGGTTATATAGGTTTTCGCGGGTTATTTCGCGGGGTTTACGGGTTATTATAGGTATTATCGCGGGTTTCTACGGTTTTATATAGGTTTATATAGGCTCTACCTACTAAAGCTAAATTAGATAAGCTAATTATTATTATATAGAGGTTTAGTACTACGATATATTAACCCGTATTTATTTAAACGCGATATAGTACCCTAGGATAGATTGCTAGGGTCTTTAAGATTCTTTCTATATATAAGGCCCTTCTACTAAAATTATTAACTCTACCCTTCTCCGATACGATATTTTAAAGCTAATATTCTAACGCGTTTTTATTATCTTTATATAATAGTAATATTAACCTTATCTACCTTACGCCTAAGAATAAGTAGCTCGCTACTATTTCTAAACCCTCTACTAGCTAGCTTATAATTAATTTATTTAATCCTAAGTTTCTACGCCTACTAATTCTACTCTTAGTCTCTAAAGGTCTTATATACGTAGGCCTAGATTATAGAAAGGTATTCGTTCTTTATTGTCACGATCGACAAGTATCACATGCTATCACATGTCAAGATCGTTCTTATCTTTCTTTGTTCTTTGTTTGCTTTCTTTCTTTGTTTGATGGAGTGCTACTATGCCTAATTGGGCATGTCTACTAAGCCTATTTGGGAAAGAGGATTGTTTCTTTGTTTCTTTGTTTGATCCAGCTATATCAACCCCTCTGGATCTCTCTGCACTTCTTCTTCTTTTCTCCCCATCTTTGCTTTTCTAGTTAAATGCACTCTTTCTCACAAAGACCTGGCTCGTAACATTTATAACGAAATAGTTAATAAAGAATTTATAGATTAATAGATTAGAATATAATATAGGGGTCCTAGTAATACTAAGATTAAATAGGACTCGAAGTATTAGTTAAAATCTTAGGATAAATTCGATTAGGTTATATATAGCTCCGATAGCGCCCCTAAGGTAATATATAAGCGATATAAAGTAATCTTAGAGTATCCTTAATCCCTATTATTAAGGATAATAGTATACTAAGGCACTTCTACGATAGGAAAGTACTTTAAAGGTACTAGCTATACTAAAGTAGCTTAATATTATACTTAGAAGTCGGGGATTACTCGGTTTATAAAGGCTATCGTATACTTATATCTTTTATATTTAGTACTTTATTATTACTAATATATTTATCTTTTAGAACTAGGATTTCTTAGTATAGATAACGTTTAATTAAATAGCCTAGGAGGATTAGCTACTACGATTTCTTACGGTCGCTTACCTCCTATTCCGGTTAATTAAATATCCTAAATTTTATATATTAGTCGTACTTATATAAGTAACGGATTCCCTACCTAAAATTCCCTCCGCGAAAATAATTAGACGCCGTTTTTAAAGTACTATATAAGAGCGTTAATAGAGTATCTTATAGAGGCTATCTCCTAGTATAAAACTATTTATTATACTTAATTATTAGACTTTACCGTTTATATAGGTCTTTATAATAGTTACTAGCTATTTTATTAATAAGGACTAGTAGTACTATAAGATTCTTCTTAGATTTAAACCTCTCTATAGAACCTACTCTAGTATAAACCTTAGTATTATACTTATAAATATTCTTAAGAGGTATAATATTAAATATAAGGTATTTACGATTATAACTAATAATACTTCGAATAATAAAATATTAGTCGAAAGTCTCTAGTAAGTAATACTAGAAGATACTATTATTATTAGAGTTCTATATATTATTTATATCCTCTAGCTAAGTCTTAATAAGCTACTTAGATATATAAAGGCGAGCCTAGTAAATAAGTTAATAGAGACTCGGTAGATAGAATAGCGGTCTTAATCCGCCCGAACGAACGCGAGGTAGTATAAACGAGAAATTATTAATACTTTAAGTAAGGTTAATTATATCTAATTTTATAATTACCGTTTCTTATACCTTATTAACTATTTTACTAGGTTCGAAACCTCGCTATATACGTAAATATAAGCCCTTAGCGACGGGATATATTTTATATTTTTTAGACTAAATTAGCTAAACTCGTATTAATATAAGATATTAAAACGCGATAGAACTCTACTTTTCTTATACTCCGGCGTATAAAGCGGCTTCGCCTTTATTTTACACTGTTTTATAATAGGTATAAGCGATCGGATCTTATATTAGATAACGATAAATAGCGATAGATCGAGTACCTTCTTTAGATTATCTAGCCTTTCTTTAAATTTACCCTTAAACTATTAAAGATAAAGGATACTACTACCTATTATATATTTAAGATTTATAATAAGCTCTTCGAGTATCTTAAGCAATTTATTATATAACTCCGACGTAAAAGGGTCTCTTAGAAAATAAATATATTATAGGCTTTTAAGACTATATAGTAGAAACTTAAGGACTATTACGCTGAAATAGATAATATCCGAGGTAATCTTTATATAATTAGAATTATACTTACTCTTACTAATAAGCTTCGGTTCTTTTAAACCGATAAATAAGAAGAGTAATAGGCTTAGAGGTATCGACGAAGCTTTTAAGACTACCTTATACTATATAAGGTACGTCTTAGAAGTATATAAACGTCTCTATCGTACTAGTTTTCGAAAAGATTAGGGTCTCGCCTTAATATAATACTCGGAAGTTAGTAATCTAATAACCTATCGTATAATAAACTCTTATAGTATCTTAAAAATAGTATATATAAAATACGACTACTAGTATTATAAAATATAGTACTAATATATAATAAATACTATTAATATATCCCCCCTTTTATTTTAGAAGGATAGCTAATATCGATTTTTAGCTCTTATAAGCCTAGCCCGAGATATACTTTCGATTCTAGTAACCGGCGTAGGTATTAAAAGGCTATTTAACTTTACTCGGGATATTTATTACTACTACTAAGGTAGACTTAACGCCGATACTATTTAGGATCTTATAATATACTTATATATATTAAGGTTTAACTTCGAAGAAGCCGAGTATACGTTTCTAAAGGAATTCTTCTCTCGCGATAAAGTCGAGATAGCTAACGAAGAGTAGAATAATAGTCTTTATATATATAAGTTTAATCCGATTAATAATAATAAGGAAGATAGGATAATAATAGAGATTAGTAATAGAAGGGAGGCTAAGTAGCCTACTTTATTAACTAGTAACGATAATTAAGATCTAGAATATAATATACTACTACCTATACCTAAGGAAGGGAATACTTAGGTACGTAGAATTATTAGATCCCGGAAATATATAAGGTAGGATAACGATAAATAGGAATACTATTAACTTTAAATTAATAACTATATTATTTATAATCTAAGTATATATAGGAAATATAATATAATAGTAGTAGTCGAGGGAGGTTTTAGGCTTAATTTCTAACCGCGGTTAGAAATAGTATAGGCTAAAGTAGCTTTTTACGTATAAGTAATTTCTAATAGCCGTTAAAAATAATAGTGGTATATTAGAATTAGAGCGGGCTATAGGAGCTTTTATCCTCTTAAGGTAAAAAGGAAATACAATAAGATATAGGTAAGAAATGCACAATTTATATAGATACGACTCTTCCTATATTTGCACTGTTTAGTAACCCGTATAGGTAACCCGCAAACCCGCGCGGGTTACCCAAGCTAACCCGAAACCTATTGCGGGTTATGAAAGTCGACCCGAAACCCGACCTATTTGCGGTTTGGGCTTTTTCGGGTTTGCGGGTTTGCGGGTTCTGGCGCAGTCTAGGGGCGTCCCTAGGGTAGAGAAACCGAAACGTCTATACTACTATAACGTACGGTCGGAAAATACTAAGGATTGGTAGAGTATAAATAGATATTTAATAAAGGTATATACGAGATTTGAAGCCGATCGAATAGACGTAGAGGGAGAAAAGCGAAAAAGAAAAAAAGGGTAAACGGTTTGATAGGGTAGAAGCAAAAAGAAATATATAACTACAGTATTTCATTACCGAGTGGATCAAACCACCCCCGATTAAAAACGTATTTAGTCCCTAAATACCGGCTTATTATTATCTCTATAATCTTTAAGAAAGAATTTATTTTTGGCTACGTCTATCTAGGCTTATAAACGTATTAGGGGTCCGGGTTTTAGAGGGTAATTGTTATAAAAATCCTAAATCTTCTAGGGTACGTACTTAAAGTTTCTTATAGGATACTATTATAAGTTAAGGTTATAATTAAGCTATTAAACTCGATACTATAGCTTCCGGTAGTAGAGACGTAAATCGATAATCTTATCTATCTCTTATTTATCTTCCTTAGAGATCCTAACTAGTAGCGGTAGGTCTAGGCGCTATCCGCGTAATAATTATAACGATAAGGCCTTTTAAAGCTTATTAGGATTAAATACCGGGTAAATTTTAATAGATTCTAAAAGATCGAGTTTATAGGCGTTTCCGATCTTCTCGATAATTTTATAAGGTCTATTAGTAAGATAAAAAAGCTTCCGATTTAAGCGGTCTAGCTACTAATCCTTTATTATAATAAAAACCTAATTACTAATATTAAAGTCCTCTTCTTTCCGATATTTATTTATCTACTAAATTATCCGCTACTAAAACTTTATAATCTAATCTCTCGTTTTTATTTAGATATTTTAGAGTTATAATAATATATTAATTATATTCCGCTTATTATTTATTAGATTACTTCGGTCTTTTTAATTAAAAGATATCGCTAATTTATAACCCCTTTTAACGAAGAATAGTAATTATTTTATAATATCCTATAAAAGAATTAATATTATAAAATCTATTATTAGTAAAATCTTTAACTAATTATCCTAGTTCTATTCTATATATAGTTATAATCTTTAGGCTATATACTAATTAGCGATTTTACTTTATTCGTTAGTTTAAGAGTAGTAAGTAGTTAATAACTTTCTTTTAATTTTAAAAATTTAGTAGAATTTAGTCTAGAATTCTAAAATAAACTATTCTCCCCGATTAGATATAATAGTCTCTAGAATACCTATAATCCGAATTATATTATTAATAAATAATCGAGCTATCTACTTAGTATTAATATCTTTATAATAGAGTATAAAAATTAGTCTCTTATTTAGTCGATTAATAACTATAAAGACGGCGTTATAATTATAATAATCTTTTAGAAACGAGCGGAAATCTATTAAAATATATTACTAAAATCTTTTAAGAATAAGTAAAGAATATAATAATCTAGATATATAGTCTTACTAGGCTTTTATTTATTTATAAACTAAATAGTTTTCTATATATTGCTTTATATCGTTAGCCTATCCTAGCTAATAATATCTTAATAAAATAAGCTTTTTTAATTTCTTAATCCTAGGGTATATAGTTAATAGTTATCGATATATATTATTAAGAAGTCTTATATATAAATCTTTTTTATCTAGAATTTTAAGTCGTCTTTCGAATAAAAGTAAACCTTTTTTAATTATCTATCTCTAGTCGCTATCTTCTTTAATAATCTATTAAAAATCTTCTAGATTATTACTTTTTTAGTTCGTTTATTTACTCGCTTAGTAATATTTATTATATATTCTATATCGATTAGATTTAAATCGATTAGATATATACCTTCTTCTAGATAACTCTTTAGTAAAAGTATAATCTATTTATTATTATTAGTATAAAATAAATCTCTTTATAATAATATATTAGTTATAATATTCTTCTTTTTAGAATAATACTTAATTATAAAATAGAACTAAAATAAAAACTTACTCTATCTTACTTATTATTAATTTATCTATCTTATTATTATAAAATATTTAAGGGACTAATAATCTATTAAGATTTTAAAGTAATCTTTTTATATTAAATCTTTAAGTTTAGATCGCTATTTCTATAATATATAAATAATTATTAAAAGTTCTTTATCTTATATCTTATAATTTAATTTCGCGGGTTATATACTCTTCGAGAAGAAAGCTATTAAATACTAAAAGTTATTATTTTTATAATATTAAGAGAGAACTATCTTAAGTACTTTATTAGAAGTATTAGTCTTAACTTTTATTTATTAAGTTAGATTATAATAATAAAGAACCGGTATAATTATTAATTCTTTTTTAGTAGCGAGAAAGCTATCTTATATTATTTTATTTATTTATAAAAAAATATCCTACCGAGTAAGTCGATATAAAAATTTTAAAATAGTATTATATCCTTAAATAAATTATTAGTAGAAATTATAAAATCCTAAAAACAACTAAATCCTTTTTATAGTTATTAGAGCTTATTATAACTAAATAATATTAATCTTTCTTAGATTAATTATAATATTATCTATATTTATAATAAAACTAAAGAATTTTATCTTTTATACCGAGAATTCGTACTTTAGTAATATTACTTAGAGATCTATTTTTTATAGATATTAAAATACCTCCCTTATCTACTATTAGTACTCTTTAAGGGTCTTATTATAGATTAAGATATTATCTATAAAAATTATAGTATACTTATTTAGGTACTTTTATAATATATTATTTATATACTATTAAAATATAATAGATTTATTTATTAATCCGAATAATATAATTTTATATTTAAATAATTTATACTATATATAAAAAATAGTAAGCTCTTTTATTCTCGATATTAAATAAATTCGGTAGAAATCTTACTAAATATTAAGTTTTATAAAGAACTTTATTTTATTAGTTTATTATAAAACTTTATCGATTAATAATAATAAGTAATAATTCTTTTTTGTAATAGTATTTAGTCTTTAGAAATCGATATAGAAATAAAGACTATCTTTAAATTTTTTTATTATTAAGATTAAGGAAATATATAGTACTAAACTTAGAATAATAAATCCTTTCTTAAGATTCTTTATAATATACTTTTTTACTTCTTTTAGCTTATAAAAAGATAGTTTATAAAAAGGATAATATTTAAATTATACTTCGGCCTTAAGTATAATATTATAATTAACTCTAAGCCTATAAGATAGTAATTTATCTAATCTTTTTTTAAAAAGATTTCTATAAGATTATAATACTTCTTTAATAAGATCCGGAGTATTTTATTAATTTTAGGATCCTTTATCTAAGCGCTTTTAATATCGATAATATAATTAATCTTATAGAGGGATATTATAAAGATCTTAGTTTTCTTATTAATCTTACTTCTTATATAAAGTCGGTTAAATCTAGCGCCTCTAATTATATAGAT